CCCCCCCAACCACCACCACCACCACCACCACCACCACACACACACACACACACACCTTTCTTGATTGCGTTCACGTTTGCTTGCTTTGGGGTACCCCTTTCATTTGTGCTTGCAGCTCACGCTTTATCGTGCCTCTCATGCACAAGGCTCGCCACTTTGATTGTGGTTGAGCGCGAGCTGCCCACATCCCCATGTGCCATAATGGCCCACTTGCACACTATGAAAAGGGGCAGAGCAAAGGTGGAGGTATATTCCTGTTCATTTCTTCTCAGATCTTCAGCTTATATTTTTTACACAAGAGGAGGGAGGGAGGAAATGGGAGGTGGAGCTCTGGGGCAGACCACTCTAGCATGGCACATGAGGCCAGTCAGTGTGTGGGTTGCTTAAGATTTGAGCAGCAGTCATTGCCTATGGTAAGTGGCCACCTCTGCAGACCGGGCAGGACCAGTCTGGGTGTGACCTGTAGAAGCACCGCACATTCCTCTATTGTACTTCATGTTGCTTGCTATACAGGTGAAAATGTCTCATTGTTGGACTGTCTCAACACAAGGGCTTTCGTTGTCTGTAATAGGATTGAATATGCTTTGATTTTGGTCTGCTCATCTGGGTGGAATAGGGCTGTTGTGGTGAAAATTCAAAACACACACACACACACACACACACACACACACACACACACACACACACACACACACACACACACAAACACACACACGCACACACACGCACAGCGGCCTCGTTTGTCGTTGAATGGCATGATCACCGCGCCCCCTGCAGGGGTTAGAGATCTGCTCCGACGACATGCTCGCAACCGTACGGAACGACATCGTCGCTTTCAGTATACACTAGCGAGGAATAGTGCACATTGAGTCCGATGCCCGCAATGTGGCGATGATTTTTTCAGTGCTGCACGAGTGCACCAGACACGAGGGGCAGCTACTTGTGCAGCGTTTGCATGACTAGCAGCCGCCCTGAGCACAAGTGAGGCTGATCAGCTTCCGATTCCCACATCTGGTCCACCCAGTTCTCACCCCACCTGACCTGCCCCTCTCTCATCCACCTAGCCCCACTCACTCCCCTGGCCCAAATGACAACGACCTGTACAACGAGTCTCCGCCACCTGTGCAACCTGCAGAATCGAACGAGGATCTCCCTGCCGTAAAGGGATCCCCCACGCAACCTGCGGAATCAGACAATGTCATAGCACTACAGCAAGGGCGCTGTGTGTACTATGCCATTAATGTATGTCTCCTTGCTTACAATTGTAATCCTTACACTGTTGCTGATTTCGCAGACGTTGTTCGCTGGATAGAAGAAGAGCACCGTGCCGTCTGCCCAGAGGACGACAGCGCTGCGCCTGGGGTGAACATAGAAGTCCTGGCTATGGCATTTTTGGGTAGGCGACTGCAATTCCAGCCTGCTCCGCAAAACCACGAGCCAGGCACGAATCCGAATATTCGGGCATATATCTTATATCGTCCAGGTCACTTCCATGCTCTTATGTTTGCAGATAATTCACGGACCCTATGGGACAATGGCGGTAGGGTGCACACAGTGGGAAATATTAACTCTTTCTATCACCAAATGCTGGTGGGTCACTCAGTCTGGCTCGTCCATCAGGAACAGTGTGTCGATGAGCATTTGCAAGCACTGCACCCCCCGGAGAGCAATCCGGCTGATTCTACTACAAATAGTGAAAGGACCTCTCCACAGCATAATGGCTGTGCCCTCCCGTTGTGTCGTTGCACAGGTGCAGTTCGGTTGGCATGTACACGACATAGCCTATGGTCCGAACACTATGAAGGGATGGTCGCTGCTATCCTTTCACAGAAAATTGTGATCCCCTGTCCTGTGCTCATCCCCCCCACCCCCTGATTACTTGCCCAGCATGCCGTTGTGGCCTTGATCTGCCGTGCTTAAATAACTGTGCACGTCGGCCTTCCATACTAATGACATGTCAGCAACATGCCATGTGTCGTCAATGCTTCCAGGAAGCTTGCATAGAAAGTATCTGTCTTTACTGCGTGGACTATCCCCGGTGCCATCACCCTCAAATCCTCTCCTAGCATGTCACACATGCGGTGTTGGTCATACACCTACGACAACCGCTGATGGATCTCCCTCTTTCTTGCCAGACGAACGACGAACACAGCAGTCCGAAGAGGCAAATAGACTTCTTTATGAACCACCGGCAGAGCGATGTGCTCATAGTGTATCACCACCAGGGCGAGCTGTTGCGGATCATATCCTGCAGCATTTGAACGCCCTTGCGTTGGACCGATCCTCCCTGTCGTCGTCTGCCCATAGAGAAGGAATACATACTGAGGAAGCCCAAGAAAGATGCTCCATGCCGTTTTGTGATGACCCACCGGAGATTCAACTAGCATGTGGTTCACATGCCTTGTGCCGTGAGGATTATGAAGGAATAGTCCATGCGAGTTTTTGCTTCCATACGTACGATGACAGTCAGTATTGTACTCATGTGCGGCACCCCGGCATGTCATGTCCAATTTGTAGACAGGGGCTGGAACGGCAATGCCTCTATAATTGCGGCCGACTACAATTTCTTCGCAGTTTCCCTTTTTGCGAGGATTTGGGTCATCGGCATGCCCGTGAACGGGCCTCTACAGCAAGCATGAACCCTCCCTAAGTGAAGGCGGGCCCCTAACAGTCGATGGGGCCTGAATTCGTCAATTTTGCAAGTCTTGTTGGGCGCTAGACAGTTACCATGCACCAGTCGGTTACATCCTCCCCGCTCTTGAGAATCAGAAATAGTTGTGAGCCTTCTAGGGTCTTCCAGCCTCGCAGGGAAAGCCCTACATTGTGAGAACCACTCCTAACCAATTCGGTCCCACATTGTGGGAACACCRCACATTTGTGCCTGGGTGGTTGGGCACTCCTAACCAATTCGGTCCCAGGTATTTACAAATGCATGAGAACCACTCGATCGACCTTGCAGTGGCTTGGGCWYGATCGGGTGGTGCCATTAGCTTYGGCTGGTGTGCAAATTTGTCTTCATTGTGTGGTGGCTATGTCTACTTSGATTGTGCATGTGTGTGACCGGGTACACCGGATCACGGGGAAAAACGAGTACCCGTGTTGGGGTGGGGTTAAGTGCTCATCTTGGGGCTTAACTTTCACCCCGGTCCACTTTGCCGTTTGGTTGAGTGTTTCGCTGCTTTGGTTATCCTTCAGTGTGACATCAGTGCATTTCTGCTTTCTGGAAAGCTTTCGACTATCCGACCTGCAAYTTGATTTTGCAATCTGGAATTCTGTCATTWCGCTATTGCTCATTTTCCTTGCTGTTTCCCTTTTATTCGCAGTTTCCCTTTTATTTCTTATTCTGCCTCTCCCTTTACTCTGCCTCTCAGCTGCAAGGCTAAGGAGAGACAGAGAGAGAAAAAAAACAAAGGGAATAAGGAGTGCAGGCCAGAGAGGACAGCATGGGAAAGGATAAAGGAAACCTTCAGATACAGTCTGACATCTGACGTCCGCAATAAAAAGGAAATGCATGCCCAGGATGAGATGGGTGATAAAATGGAAGACCTGGCAGAGAATTCTCAGCACACAGTAGCACACAGTAAGGTAGATTC